CCCCACAAGGTTCGAGGTAGTTACTCCGGACCTCTAGTACTGTCCTCACAAACCACCCCAAGCCTTTGCACTTTGTCCTCACTCATGCGCGCCCTGAGAAACTTCCCAGGGGGTCACCCATCCCCCATCCCAAGACTACTCCCGTGCAAGCACGCTTAACTTTGGAGTTCTTGGCTAATGAGCTCCCTTAAAAGGAGATGCACCTTGTTGGTATGAGTAGTAGTATTAATCCTCTTAAATTAATCTCGAGTATTACAGTGGTAGTAGGGGGATGGGGCGGTTGGAAAATTTTGTGGGACCTAAAAATCCCACCGAAGGTAAAATATTTTATTTGGCAGGTCTAGGATGGTTCTTTGCCTTCAGCTACTAATCTCGAGCGGAAAGGGGTCCCTATTGCAAGGTTTGTTCACATAGTGAGGAGACGACGGAGCACACTCTGAAATCATGCCCGAAGGCGGCCGAGGCTTGGAAGGCGGCGGGAGTGGCACTCGGCAACGGGGACGAGTCTTTTGAGGTATGGCTCCAAAAACTTCTTTCGAGTACTGATAAAGAATTGAGATGTAAAGTGGATATGTTAGCATGACGATTATGGAAGAGACAAAATTCCCTATATAGTTTGGGAAGATGGCATGCAAGAGACGGCCAGCTTGCTGAACAATTGCGCATGCATGTTGCTTGCGTGGAGGGACGCCCATGGAAGTGTGAAAGTGGCGGGCAGCAGGTCGAGCAAAAGAAATCCGGGCTGGAGTAAGCCGAATGCAGGCTACTTGAAGATAAATGTGGATGCAGCAACGGATGTGCAGGGGGGGAAGAGCTTGGGGTTGGGTTGCAAGGGATGAACATGGGATTTTCGTAAAAGCTGGTGGCGGATCAGTGAGGGTCGATTGGAGCCCAGCGGAAGCGGAAGCAATGGGAATAAGGGAAGTGCTTTTGGAGGCTATAACGGAGGGATGGGAGAAGGTTGAGTTGGAGTCCGATGCACAGGTGATCATTCGAGGCATTCATCGGGGCGGTGGGATGGCTTATTTGGATTTAATTCTTGATGACATTCGAAGTTTAGTTCTTACAGGGAGTAATTTCTCTATCTCTTTTTGTCCACGATCTGCGAATCGTGTAGCTCATAATCTGCTAGAGCGCACGTATCTCTCTCAAATCATAGAAGTAGTTATGGTATTATTCCGGATTGTATTGTATAGTAAGCTAGTTGGCTAACTGCCTTTTGAATTAATTATATTGCTAGTCTCGGTTTAAAAAAATTGACTAAACAAGACGTGGAACTATTAATGATGGGAATCCATAAAATTAGGATTATTGTGAAATACTCGCCTAATTGATTTTGGGACGCACAATATAATTATTTGAGACATAGGAATAAGTTGTCTGTGACCCGATCAGTTAGGACACTATCTCATACGTAGTAATGTAGAATATACTCCATATAATTCATTACATTTCTAATTTTGCGCATAAACAAATACTATTCCCGATAATTTTTTAGTTGCATACATGCCCCTGCATACATCATATTGAATTTTACTTATTCATGTGCTCTACTTTTATTATAACTTATTTATTACGGGTAATATTTTCCAAATGCATTTTTGAAAATTATTGCTAATTCCGTCTCATTGTTCTATTTTTAAAGTCAAAACACGAGATAACAACGAAACAAGGTAAACACAATACCATTCAAATTTACTTAGCTAGAAATGAGAACATTGAAATTAAAACAATATACTAAGTGTATATTATTATCATTTTAAAAGAAAATGAACAATAAGATTGTCTTATGATTTGAGGGAAAGTTAAACTCGATCAATTACCCAAATTCGATAGCTACCATGCATGGCAAGAGAGCATTTGTATACAACATATATAAACTAATATAATTGTATTGAAGATAAAAGAAGTATGTTTACCGGTTTAAACGTTGGTATATATGGTATAGACTATAGAGAATTGAAGTTTCTGCCTGAAAAAAAAGCTACATTACCTTTTTCATCCGAAGGGAAAATGAGCTTTTCTTCTTCTTTTTTCGGTACGCCGTAATTCCGTACTCCGTAGCCAATGAGACACAGGAGCCTTGATCGAGCATTCGAGCCAACTCTAACCAAGCCGATATACTATCGTATAATCAAACATTGATGATAAAATGGTTAGTAACAAATTAAAGATATCAGTTCGAAAATTTAATTTATTAATAAGGTTTGTGTCAACACAATGAATTGTTTTTTATTTACAGTTTGGCCACATGGAGTATGGTCTACGGTCTGGGGTTGGTGGTCTCACGTTTTTACTATCAAATAAACGCTACAAAAAAATACGGGATTGACACATATTTGCTACGAGTGTACTTATGATTTTGTACTAAATGACTCATACCAAACTGTTTTTGACACGAATTTAACACATCCCAGTCAAACCCTTTATGAATTTTGTAGTAGTGAAATTATTTTTCAATCGTATATCTAAATAAAGAATAATAATCATGCATGGGTCAACGATAATATCTCCTGTTAATTTTAATAGTTCACGGCTGGCCAATTACTAAACATTTCCTTTTATAAATTATCTTCCACGTCTAATCTATAATATCTACGGAGTATAATATAATAATATTATAATAATAATCCCATCATCGTGTTTGCAATGAAAGTGTATTATATGCTTTGCATAAAATATTTTCCTCAATAATTGATAATGCGAGGCGTGATACGGCTGGTAGAATTTTCGGGGGAAGTTAAGTATTTATAGCTAATATAGGATATTATGTTCCTTTAATAATACGAGAGATCGATTACTCTTAAAAAAAATACGAGAGATCGATTTTGGCGCTGTTTTTGTCTAGCTAGATTCCCAAATCAATTTAGAGGAATTTGTCATAAAAACCAATATGGAAAAGTTTTTGTTTACATACATGCAGCGAGTGACAAACATGTTAAATGGTGTTTAACAATACAAAAATGACAAGATTTGTACCCCAATTTGTACACCCCTAGTTGCACGTGTATACGGACAATTTCGTTTGAAAAATGACAAGATTTTTTTTATTCAAATACTTGTGTACATGGGCAATGTACACATTGGGGTACACCAAGCATTGCTCTACTTTAATTCTAAAAAGCACTAATGCTTTTTAAAGAGTTAAATTAATTTTTATTTTTGTATATTCAATATTGGTGTCATTTAAAGGTAATAAAAAATATGAATTTTGATATATTTTTTGTAACAACCAGAATACAAATAAAAAAGTTATAACATAAATAGAATTTTATATTGATGTGATTCCTAAAAAGGAGGAATTAGTATTTTAGGATGTTTTCTTTTGGACTGTTTTCAGTCCCAGATCAGACCAGACCAGCAAATTTCAGTCTAAAAGAAAACATCCTTAGTTGAGTAGTAATTGATTACTTGAATAGTTGAATTCCTATATGAGTTACGGATGGAATCTTTATTAGAAAGGGAATTCAAAACAATAATTCTAGAGATACATGTGACAATGATTTCCTTAATTGAAATCTTGAAATGTATTATTCATAGACGCATATTGTTTTTTTCATATCTAACGAGTTCATATACCGTGATACTGACGCACAATGAGCATCATACACACAGGAGTAAAACGCGGATGAACAGTAGCCGCGAATGAACAATAACTTTTTTTGTGTTTCAGTAACAGGGTGATGTAACTCACGTTTACAAAAATGTAACTCACGTTGATAGGAAATGTAACTTGAGTCAAGTTGATATGTAAGTTGTCAAAAACGGAATGTAAGGAGACAAGCATGCATTGATTTCAATGTAACCAATGAAAAATTGATCCTAATTGCCCAATTACTTTTTAAAAATAGTGAATATGTTTTGAATTTTTAATATTAAGGCTATAAAAATTGATTTAGTTAATTCTTTTTTATCATTAGCATGATTTATTTAGTGGTGTAACTCATTTACATTAAAACATAGCTCGCGTACATTAAAATGTAAGTCTAGAAAAGTTGAAATGTAAGTCTAGAAATATGTACATTATATATACATACATATAAGAAAAGAAAAAAAAAACATTTATGTATCTTATCAACATTGATTTCAATGTAAACAATTAAAAATTGATCTTAATTGCCTAATTACTTTTTGTAAGTAGTGAATATGGTTTTTTAATATCAGGGTTATAAAAATGATATAGTTAAAAAAATTGATCATTAGCGGAGTTTATTTCATGATGTAACTCGCGTACATTAAGATGTAACTCACACATAAACAGATGTAACTCACACATAAGAATGTGTAACTTCATATACTATCAAATATAATTCCAAAAATTGTCTATAAACACAACTCACACATGTTGAAATACAAATCATACAACTATACAAGTGTATAAAATATAAAATTATTTATTTTGAAGAAAAAATAAGTTAATTTTTTATTGTAATTTAAGTTGAATCAAAAAAGAAAACAAGTGTATGAATAAGGACTGACAGAAAAAAAAAACATAATAAATTTCTTTTGAAAGGATGAAAATTTAATCTCAAAATTGTAATACATACATCATTGTTTCTAAAATTAAAAAAATTATTTGGAAACATGATTGCTTTTGATAATGAAAAAGTTAAAGCAAACATAGAATGAAAAAAATGATGGTGGAAAGATAAGTGGAGTGTATGACAAGAAAGAAGAAAAAGAAAGAAACAAGGGGGGAAAGTGCGCTATATTGTTGGGGTTGTTATTAAAAACGGCACCGTATTGCAACTGACATACCATTTGCATTGTATGTCGGTTGCACGGTATAATTTGCCATATCTAACCATTATGTGGCCAATTTGCTACTAAATTTTGGGGATTACATTTTAAAAATTGATTAGCCCAGGTTTGAGTAAAGTTTTTAGCCCTGCTCGCAACATAACACACAAATGAGTACCCCCGCCCCATTTACAAGACATTTGAGAAACATTTGATAATAGCTTATGCATCTAAGAGAACCCCAATATTTATAGCTCCAGCTGCCCAAGAAAACTGATCTTTGTTATTATGACAGTATTGTATCACCCAATTCACATTCATTGAAGAATGTATATATGAAACAAAAATAACAAAAAATAGGAACATCGAGTACAAATGTACAATAGATTTATGACTCCCTGAGTATCAAAATCCATGACATGTGTCTACATTCATGGAATAAATCATTCATGAGATACTAAAGTTAAATGTCAGAAAATTGTACAAAAACTCCAGCCCTACAATATAACGACCAAAATCAATAAGTTCGAGTCAGATAGCATAAAGCCTAAATCAATGTGCATGATAGGAACTTTCTCACCCAACAAGAGATTCTCATTATGTCTATCTTTGACCTAATCAAAAAATAATTTTGTTAGTACTTAGAAGTTAGTAATGTAACAATGCCTATAAGGCGTTGCTCGTGTGAACTTAAATAATTAAACCCCTCAAAACAAACTGCAAATAAAAAATTAAAAGTAGCCAAGAGATAGAAAACCAATACTTGATCAAGATCTATCTACAGTTATTATTATAAATAAATACACCACATTGGGTAAGTAGTGTTATTAGTTGGATACTAGAGGGGGAGGGGATGGGGAGATAGAGAGAGAGTGGACAGAATCTCACATTGTGTAGCAAACCAGAAAATATCCGGCCATTCTTTCTACAGAGCTTCTCTGCACAAAGATTGAAACACACAAATGGAAAAATCACATTAGACTCCCTGCTTTCTGCAGTCGAAAAATTTGAAAATAACAGTTCCAAGACGAATGTCACCAGTACAATGAATGAATTTTAGTAAGCAAAAAGATTTCTCATAAATGGCTAATGAACTGCAGCAAAGCATGACCAAGATAGCATCATGCTTTCACGAATAGGGCCACATATTTTCCAGGTAGGAGGAGCAAACTGCAGTAAAGCAACTGTCTCTTTGGGACAGAGGATTGCAATCTAACTAGTATTGTGAGCACTTCTTTCTGCATCCACACATTGGACTTCTGTTGAAAAAAAGGAAAAGGGATGAATACACCCATATAGGCTTATACTATAGGGGTAAGAACATATATACCCCTCTTCTTTTTGTGGGAACAAAACAACTGTTAAAATTGAAATTTGAGATCAGATATACCTTCTCCTAATGTTGCATTAATACAAAATATCTCCCATTGGATTGTTGGAAGACATTAAAGCAATGGTAACATTCACTGAAATTCTCTTCATGATTCTCCTCCTTTGTAGAAATAGAAGTGACTCAATGGGAAAATTCATCATCACTTTAGCTTTACTGCCTCAGTTCACGTGAAACCTGGACTACATGATGTACAAATTCTAGTTTGAAGAATCTGTCAACACACACCCATATCACTCAAACAGAAAAATAAACTAATGAGCACATCAGTCATTCGCAAGTAAGAATAGAGTTAAATGACTAATTCTGCTTTAAAACATACTTAGGTAAAATGCATAACCATGAACCAAAATATACCATAATACTTAATTCCAATTTTTGTTCCGAAAAACAGAAAAGGGTATATAGTTCTCACACCTATAGCATATGGCTATATTTGTACCTTTCCCCATTGAGAAAACCAACTTCAATCATGACCATTTAATATGTTGGTATCTCTGAAGCTACAAATCACAAACTTTCAAATCCAATTTTATGCTAATAGTAACTACCATAGCAATTCATTCACGAATAGTTGATAAAAGAAAAAGAAGTGTGTTCAGGATTGGTAATGTAAATTGAGTGGTGTATAGAGGTTCTTTGCCCATCTGAAGAAATTTATTATTTCAATTTGACAGTCGGATTGTTGTTTTTGTATACTGGCAAGCATAGTGAATCTATTTCTTCATTGCTTATTTTTTTATTCTATTCTATGAAATTAAGCCAGAAGCATTTTCGCTCTATAGCTTCAGTGTAATTTTTTATGAAATTACGAAGTGAATATTGCACGAGTGAGGTGCTACCTAAGCCTAACGATAATATTGAATGAGCAGAGACACATAAAGCACTCCAGTGTCCAGAAAACTGATAGAGATGTGCAGGTTTAGAACAAAAATTCAATAAGAAATCTAGCTAATCTGTAGAGAAATTAGCTCAAGAACAATCTGCAACTTTATTTCAACAAGGTAAACAGTACAAAAGTCCCAAAAGAAAGAGATAACACTCGATCTTTCCCAGTCCCAGTCCAAGCATCTAACAGCCTACTCCTCCCAGCCCTTCTTTATTCTATTTATATGTTCATAGACTAACTGAAAGTAGTTACAAGCAAATAACAGAAAGTAACTAATAACAACTAGCCTATTTATTCCTTCTAGAATAAACTTGGCCGTAATATCTATCTTCCTTGTCAGCAGTCACCGTGTTCCGATCAAAAACATATGACCTTAAAGAAGTAGAACTTACCGACCGCAAGTCCCAGCCCAGGCAGTTACCCATATATGGAGGCTTTGCGCATACTCTCCTTCGTAATCTCCCAGAGTTGACGAGACAGTGCACCACATGGAAAAGATTAAAAGCCGGAGAATTTTCTTGATACTTGGCAACATAAAAGCCTAGTGGACTTGACATATTAGAAAATGTACTTTTTGATAGAATGAAGAGAGGTCTGCAGAAATGTCCATACATCATCCCAGGACAGATTCAGAAAGCACTATATGCTCATTTAAAGACATATAATAATGAACACATTTTGATCACATTTTGGCCAAATTTGATAACAAACTTGCAGGTTGGAAACACAAGCTACTCTCGACTGGGGGTAGAATGATTCTTATTAACCATGTTTTAAATTCCTTACCGCTTTACCATATGGCTGTTTGCCCCATACCTAAATCGGTTTTTCACAAAATGGAAAGGAGGCTCACTGATTTTCTGTGGGATAGGAATAATGACCATAAAAAGCATGTTTGGAGACGCTGGTCGAAATGTTGCTTCCCGTTTCTGGAAAATGGTTTAGGTTTTAGAAGTCTACCACATATTCAAAAAACCTTCTTCCTCAAACTCCTTTGGAAGCAAGCAAATGGCAAGGGTCTTTGGGCTACATGGGTAAATTCTCTTAATGGTACTGCCAGGTCTGTTATGCACAACTCTCTTGATTCTGTGAGGTCTGTTTTTGATATTAACTGCTGCATTCAGGTGAATAATGGTTGTAGTTCTTTTTGGTTTGATAGTTGGTGCGACTTAGGCCCCCTGTACCAGTTCCAAAACCACCTCCCCGATAATTTAGAGCATCTAACTGTTTCTGAAGCTATGCATAATAATAGCCTTATTCCTGCGATCCAAAACTGTCTCCCGAACTACATTATAACCAAAATTAAAGACCTTAATATCAGTTTCAATGATACTAAAGATGCCCATATTTGGAAACCTAATTCAAATGGCATTTTCAGTTTTAATAGTGCCTATGATGTTATGCGGCCTAAAATGACTTTGAACTTGAGTGCCAAGTATGTGTGGAACAGCCGTACCCCCAAAAAAATTTCTTTTTACTTATGGAGACTCAATAACCATCTGCTGCCTTTTGAGGATAAACTCACAACTTTTGGTATCCACGGTCCGTTCAAATGCCCCTTTTGTAATAGCCCGGACACCATTGATCACTGCTTCCTTCACTGTAATTTTGCTATGACTATCTGGCATCATTTTGAAATTTGTTATGACTTTCACCCAAACAAAACTAGCACCTTCAGTAATTACATTACTAAATGGTACTTGGATTTCAAAAGCACTATAAATGATTTTAACCACACCCTCCCTAACATCATCACTTGGCACCTTTGGAAAGCTAGAAACAAAGTTCTGTATGATAACAATAAGGCCAACACTCCTGAGGCTATAAAAGCTATTAGAACTGATATTTATGCCATGTCGGTGGCTAAACCTTTCACTACGAATAACCCTAGTGTTTCTTTCAACATTCACTACATTCCTACCAAACATACTGCCAAAAAACCTGCTCTCAAAATCTGGACTAAACCCCCGGATAGCTACTTCAAAGTTAACCTAGCCTCTCGTAATATTACCCCCCATTTGATCCGCTCGGCTGCCATTGTTCGTAACAGTACTGGTAGTTACATGGGTCATGCCACTCACGTGGTTCACCACGGTCATACTACCGATGCTACTTATGATGCTTTAGACTATATTATTCCCCTCCTAAGAAAATTTAACACTCTTAATTTCATTTTTGAGGTGGAAGATAGTAATGTCTACGAAGGACTTCAGGGGATCTCTATACAGCATTGGACATATTGGTTGCAGATCCGAAACATACGCAGAAAACTTGGAAGCTATAACTGGACCATTACTCACGTCAACCCAACCATCAACAAGGCAGCTGATTTTCTTGCATACCGTTGCATGTCTATTAAAACCAATACTCATCATTTTAATCATTTTGTGGGCATTTTAAAGTTTGACGCAACTAGCTTTCCTTATATTACATAGTTTTTATTTGTATCTCTGAGTAGGCTTTGGTTTGGTCCTCCTACTATCTGTATTTCACATTTTCATAATAAATTGGTGGGATGTTCCCTGGCCCCACCCCAGGACCCTCGGGTCTTGGAGAATTACCGGGCAAAAAAAAAATGAAAAAAAAAAAATGAACACAAAAGCAATGAGACAGATTACCTTATCTGAAATAGTTTCGATCAGTGTTCTGCATGATGATGTAGGGAGGACTTCATATGGGCGCAACCACAGAGGAAGACCAGCTTCCTGGAATATATCTGACAATTGTAAGTTTCAAAAATATGTAAACAATGACCGATAGCAGTGATTTAATTCTAATGTAAGTGAAATAGTACCAGATGATGAACACTCATACCAGATGAAATACGTAAACATAAAAACTTATGAACTCCAAATTTCGAGGTAAAATTGTACCATGTCCATGAGGACATATATAAGACATGGAAACAGTAAGACAGAAGTCATCCACGCATTATAAACCTAAAAGGACAAGGCGCGTACATGTGAGCATGACCCATGTATGAGAAAACCTAATCATGTTGTTAGGGATGGGAAACAAAGTGGGGTAGAGATCTAAACATATGCTACTACAAACATTATAATTGTATATTAAAAGAAGGAAGCTTCTCACAATTCAATGTCATGCTGAAATGCAAGACTGCAACCGAAGTCCTAGAACGTTAATGCTAATGCTTCAGAAGAGGAAACATTTCACTCCTGATTAGCGTGTATTACTGTATTAGTAATTATATTTGTGTCATTAAGGATCGAATCTTGACAATCCTGAGGCAAATAAAAGTAAAAGCAATGGAAAAACTTAAGCATGTTAACTACTGCAGTACTTAGTCCAGATGTATAATCTGGAATAAAGACTTTATAGATTATATAATCAAACCTTAGAACATTAGGTAAAGGCGGTTTGATAACCACTTTCGCAGCGTTGTAGTAAAACGGAGTCTAACTTTTCGGTTTTCCCCCGAGTATCGTGTCTCTGAGGAATGACAGAGGACTTTTCTTAATTTAATCTTAGTCACGGGCTATCGCTAATCGTTGGAAGCTTTTTTAATACAGAAAGGTGATTCTGTTCTAAACTATGCCAATTTGCAAAATTACAACTAGGAGCAAAGTTCAATTTAAAGATGAATGTTTAACAATCAATTGTATTCTAAAGATTGATGCAAATAAAGGCAATGAAATGTGTAATTAGAAATGGATATATTCTTGGACCTAGTAATTAGGGGTATTAAAAGTAAAGTGGACTAATGATTTCTTTCTCATAGACAAGAATAGAAACTATTTTCATTAATGTATCCTATTTCTAGGTGTTATTAATGTGTTCAAAATGGTTGGCTTGAATTAAATTCTAATCCCATAGACAAGGTAGAAATAATTCTCCAATATTTTAATTAATAAAAATAGCCAAATTCATTAACTAGTAAACTCATCATTTAAGCAATTTAAATTTATCTCTCATAGACAAGATGTCAATCCATTTCATTAAAATATCCTATTTCTAGGCCTTATTAATGTGCTTGAATATGATTGGCTTAACTTATTTTCTAATCTCCTAGACATGTTAGAAATAATTTTCCAAGAATTAAAATAATGAAAATGGCTAGCAATTATTAATTATTATTTCAGCATTTTAAACAACTAGTCCAAATTATTAATTTGGATCCCTAATTTTCGGTTAACAAGTCCATCCATATTCCTTTAGTCAATTCATGCCCAAAACAAATTTAGCTACTAACCATCATTTTGCATTTAACAATATTAATTCAACATTAACAAGGTGTTAAACATTGATGAGAACCCAGCCCGTTTAGATATTAATACTGACAGGGACTTTTCCAGAGTTTATATTAGGAGAAATAAAAGGGCAAAGGAGTAAAAGCATAATTAATAGGGGAAGATGGGGTGGCAGTTTGGGGAATAAAACGGTTACAGAGGAGGGAGATTGGGTATCGGGAAATTGGATAGACTGGTTTTGGAGAGAGGGGCCCTCTCGAAAGGCTTCCAACTTGTAGTTTCCTTTCAGCAAGACGATCCTCTTGATCGTTTTTTTGTTCAGAACTCAGTATTTCTCTTTACAATAAATTCTCAGAGTATTTCAGTTCTTATCATTTGGTATCAGAGAACTCGATCACCATACCTATGTATGGTATTCACTCAGTCAAACATGGAACAGCGGCTTGAAAGTTTGGAGCGATCTGTAGAGCTTTCCAAGGAAGAGATCCGAACAGAGATGAGAGCGTTGATGGACGAGAAAGTGCAATTGTTGCTGGACAAGATGCAAAGTTTCGAAGTTCAGGGCAGTCACAGGAGAAGAAGAGGACGATCGCCCACCCATCATCGACGTCACACTTCTGCCAGCGTGAGTTCGTCCAATTCAGGAGGTAACTCTCATGGTTCTCGATCCGTTTCTCGTACTCCTGAGCTGACGGGAATTAACGATCGGGTATATACTGGAAGAAAGGTGGATTTACCGCTGTTTAGCGGGAACGATCCTTACGGATGGCTTCTCAGGGTGGAACGCTATTTTAAACTAAATCATGTATTGGAGGGTGATAAAGTGGAAGTTGTCCTAATGGCCATGACCGAAAGGGCTCTGAACTAGTATCAATGGTGGGATGAACAGACTGATTTTAAGGAAGCATTGATCAGACGTTTCCAGCCGGAATTAGTTCAGAACCTGTTTGGCCCTATGCTAAAAATTAAGCAAACTAATTCAGTCATGGAGTACAGGGATCAATTCGAAAAGGTTGTAGCTCCCCTCAAAATTGCTGACCCAGAGATGCTAAAAGGAGTATTTTTCAATGGCCTCAAAGAAGAAATTAGTTCAGAGCTGAAGTTGCACCGGACCATTGGGTTAACTGATCTTATGGACACAGCCCAGCTTGTTGAACAGAAAAACATGACATCAAAAGGGGGAAGAAATAAGGAAATAGACAGAAGAGGGTGGATAAGTACCGGAATGAATCCATCCAAGGGTCAGTACAGTGCGGACGGAATTATAGGGAAATTTGTCACACCAAAAATTCCTATACTGGAGAAGGACCATTCAGAAGTTCAACATGAACATTCTAGTTGGTTCAATAAACAATGGAAGGGAGGACCAAGACTGTCTCAAGCTGAAATACAAGAAAGAACTAGAAGAGGACTATGTTTTAAATGTGGGGACAAATGGAGTAAAGAACACATGTGCAAAATGAAAAACTACCAGTTAATGTGGGTGGAATCAGTAGAAGAAAACGAGGAAGGTGAACCGCAGGTGTTGGAAACAGGGGAGATTGAGACTGACACAGGAGGAGAACACAACGATATGCAGCTATCGATTTTAAGTAAGGAAGGAATCAATACTTATAACACTTTCACAGTCAGGGGACAAATAAGGAATACGAGCAAACGCAAATCAGTCGTAATCCTCATTGATTCAGGTGCTACCCACAACTTCATTTCTCAGAGATTGGTTCATGAGATGGGGCTGAATTACAATGACAACACTGGGTTCAAGGTCGAGTTGGGAAATGGCGATCATGTTGTAAATAAAGGAAAATGTGAACAGCTCCAAATTTGGGTGCAAGGGGTGTGTATTACTCAAGATTTCTATCTCTTGGAACTATGAGGTACAGATCTGGTGTTAGGAATTGCATGGTTGGCAAGTCTTGGTGAGGTACAGGTAAATTCAGTGATTTATCCATCAAATGGAAGGAGAAAGGGGAAGATAAGATGCTCAAGGGAGGTTTTGAGTTAAACAGAACAAAGGCATCATGGAAATCTGTCCTACAGACTTTGCAGCAAGAAGGAGAAGGGTGTGTCATTCATTATGAGGTAACTGATTCCAGCAAGCCAGATCCAGAAATGGAGAAGGAATGGGAGGAGCTAATTAGAGAATTTCCAAAAGTTTTTCAGAAGCAGGCAGGTTTACCACCAAAAAGAGCATGTGACCATGCCATAAACATCAAAGAGGGAGCACTGATTCCAAATTCCAGGCCATATCGATATCCTCATTATCAAAAAGATGAGATAGAAAAATTGGTGCAGGAAATGTTGAACACTGGAATTCTCATACCTAGTACAAGCCCATACAGCAGTCCCGTTATTATGGTTAAGAAGAAGGAAAGAGGTTGGAGAATTTGCGGGGATTACAGGGCCCTTAACAAAATTACAATTCCTGACAAGTTTCCTATTCCTATCATTGAAGAACTGTTAGATGAATTGGGAGAAGCTCAGGTATTTTCCAAGTTGGATCTGAAATCCGGTTACCATCAAATTCGGATGAAGGAAAGTGACATCCCTAAAACTGTCATTCGAACCCATGAAGGACATTATGAGTATGTCGTCATGCCGTTTGGGTTAACCAACGCACCCTCTACTTTTCAGGCTCTGATGAACCACATTTTGAAGCCGTATTTGAGGAAATTTGTCCTTGTTTTCTTTGATGATATACTGGTGTATAGCAAAAGCGTGGAAGAGCACCGTGAACATTTAAGGAAGGTGTTGAAAGTGCTTCAAGAGAACCAGTTGGTGGTTAACAGAAAAAAATGCTATTTTGGGCAAAGAGAGCTTGCTTACTTGGGTCATATTATATTTGGTCATGGGGTCTCTGCTGATCCCAGTAAGATCCAAGACATGCTCAACTGGAATAGGCCTCAAGATGTGAAAGGACTCCGGGGATTTCTGGGGCTAACAGGCTATTACAGAAGATTCGTAAAAGGATATAGTAGAATCAAGGTTGTTAAGATCGCGATCTAACTCGCTGAATCGTACGATCTTATGATTAGAAAAGGCAAGGTCGAGTTGGATCGCTGCTGGGATCGGAAAATAGCCTGGGATCGCCGGATCGACGAGTAAACACGTAACTCGTATAAATCGTCGATCTAATCGAGGTGCGATTTCTCAGCTCCAAAATCGAGAAACAAAGGGCGGAATGAGGGACTGAGTCTGGAATGACTAATTTAAAAAAAAAACATTGACGCCTTACGCTGAAGGAAGCCCAAGGGCCACCTGCGACGTTAAGCTCCCTGCTTCGTCGACTTCAAATCACTGTTCCTCGTCGTTTTCTTCATCCCTTCTCTGTTCTCGCTCTGTTCTCTGTGTCGTTCCCTTCATCCGTTTTCTTTTTAAAAATCGTTCGCTTCTTTAGTAGGCTTGTCTTTAGGTTGTTCTGAGTTCTGACAGCAATAATAAGTCATGGGCTCATTTCAAGTGGGTTATCTCTTCTGAAAATAGTCCCTTCAAATGTTTTGTACTAGTATTTTATACTCCGTATTTAAACTTGTTATGTTCCAAGTGTTTTATGTTATTGCTTTCAGTCTTGACATTATATTTTTATTAATTACGTAGTAATTATTAATTTTAATAATAATATAAATTCAGTGTTTACATAGAATTGAATTGTGTGTGTGTGTGTGTATATATATATATATTGCATGGTAGGATCTTACGATCCGAGTTACGATCTCCTAGACCCCGTCCGATCCGTGCTAGGATCTCGAGTTTAACAACCTTGAGTAGAATAGCAAAGCCTCTCACCGACCTGTTGAAAAAGGATGGATTTAAGTGGACACATGAGGCCACTAGTGCTTTCGACGAATTGAAGGTAGCCATGACTACAGTACCTGTGCTAGCTAATCCCGACTTCAACAAAATGTTCATAATCGAGACTAATGCTTCTGGACAGGGAATAGGGGCTGTTTTGATGCAAGAAGGCAGACCTATTGCTTATATGAGTGAAGTACTATCCAACAGAAACCAAAATAAGTCAGTATATGAACGCGAGTTGCTAGCAATCGTGATGGCAGTGCAAAAATGGAGACCTTACCTAATGGGCAGGAGCTTTGAAGTCCACACAGACCAGAAAAGTTTGAAATTTCTAATGGAGCAACGGTTAACGGGTGCGGAGCAACAAAAGTGGATCACAAAGCTGTTGGGATACAATTTCAGTATTAAATATAAACCAGGTTTGGACGAACTAACAATACGAACAGGGTGTCTATGGCTCACCCTGTGAATATGGCGGTCCTCATGACTCGTTTCTTCCGGAGTCAAGAAAGAGTGTCCGCCGTACTATCTGTCATCATTCATGTTTGGTCATTCTATCCTGACCTAGACATTCCAGGACAATTACCACTACAGGATAGCATCCGCATTCTTCGGCCGCCTTTGCTGCATTTGAAAGTCAAACCTTGACTTTGATTGGAAACGGAAAAGAGCGAGGGCTGCTGACACTAGACGGGGTAGGCGGCAGCCCTTCGTGACAGCCCGCGGCACAAGGCGACGGAACCTACGACCGACCAGTGTGAATTGACGGTAGGCGGCCACACAGGAACGGCAGGCGCCTTGATGACCGCCTACTCTTGAATTGCACGAGACTATCCGGGTTCTTCCTGTTCTTCAAGATTGTCTTCTGGATCACTTTGATATTTTGCTTCCTTCTTTCAATATGAATACGTTTTTATTCAATTTGACCCATTTTGTGCTCAATTGACCCGGAATTTCACCAAACATATTATGAATGTTATTTTTACCTGATTTCATGAAATTTGAACCAAAATATATAAAATATGCCTTGTTTTTCTATTTTCTATCCAAAAATCGCTCAAATATGGTGAGAAAAATAAGAGGCTGTTCAAAACTTTGTTTGCAGTTGAAATTGATTATCTTTCTTGAAGCGAAAATCCAAGCACTTCTCAAGCGTTATGGATACTTTTACAGAACACAGGGAATAGATAAGGTAAAATAGTATAATACCCTTAAATTACAATAAGGATAAAGAGTGAAAAGTGGAAAATGAGTCGAAACAAAAAAGGCTTGTTCTGTCTACAGCCATCACCACTTTTTGCAATATAATGGCCTGTTTCAAAACAAAAAGGGGAGAAATTATACCTGCTAGCAGCATTAAAAAGGGCGTCTTAATTTAATGACTGAACCCGGAAAACTTAGGATTTAGGAAAAAGCTCGATACAGCGAGTCGAAAACTAAAGCATGTGGTTTAGCTTCTCCAGCTAGATATCAGGGTATCTCACTACAACAAACTGACAAAGTGACAAAAAGGTTGCCAAAAGAGTAACTATCGACAAACCCATCACAAGAACAATGGGTCATACCCATAAAAATGGACACGGGAATTTTGAACTAATGATATTTACACGAGTTTCCTTCAGAATTCACACGAACAAGACAAACGCCAGACAACTCACCCTTCAAAGCTAAAGCAATAGCTGCATTATTGGATTGATCATCAAGGTAAGTTTTTACGGATAGTAGGTCTTACAGATTAATTACAAACTCATAGAGAGATCGTTAAATTAAAATCCATCATAATATAAAATTGTTTCAACCTGTAAATGCACCGCCACCCTCTAACAATGTCCCACAAAACCTAAGATACATCATGATAGTAGGTTGTGGTAAAATATATGCATCACCATGTTCAGAGAAGTGTATTCTTTGATGTTTACAACCATTAATAACAGTCCAAAAAATGGAGAGGAGAATTTCAAAAAAAATTGGACATGTGCTTGGAGCACATATAAGGAAAAGTTTGATGGGAATTTAAGTGCAATTGGCAATATGAGTACGAAAACTATTACAGATTTAAAGAAAACACCAGAACATCAGTGGTGTAGAGCATATTTTACTACACGATGCAAGTCTCAAATGGTGGACTACTCAGGAGCGCTCCTGGGCATTGAGCAGTCAGCCCAGCAGAGTAGTTCTTCCCGAGCGCCACTGCACCAAAGACCCAGTGAGCCGTCCTCGGACATGCCTAGTGCATCAGATTGGAGAGCGATGGTGGACTGGAAGAGCAGTCTCCAGACCTCATTCTCAGAGCTTCAGGATGCACAGGATGTGAGACGCATAGACGGGAGAATTCAGAGACTATCGACTGGCACAGGAGGTCGCCAACAGGAATATTCGGGAGAAGCTAGAAACCCAGCGGCTGGATATTGATGAGAGAGGAGATTGGCTTAGGCCTAACCATGGCCCACGGTATGACACAGGCGATGCTTGGTTTTGCATTTTATTGATTTGTTTGTTTTTCAGGTTGGTGTTGAGAACAGAAAAATAAAAATACTGTTGCCCGAAGCCAAAAGGCTAAACTCCAGTTTTATTTAAGATAAGCAAGAATGAACCCTGGCAAGGGGTATAAATAGCCTTCCAAGAGAAAACCTAATTGAGCCTAAATTAATTAAATCCTAATTAAGCTCATAGGAACTCTACTAAATACTCTACCAATAATAGACCCAAAATAGATTAGCTAAAAAGTTTAGCCAAAAAATAAAAATAGAAAAATGGTAGAATACCCTTACCAGAAAAGCTTTAGTAAGATTGGTGAGTAAAATCCTTCCAAGCATGAATTAACTGAAAGCCTCATTACCTCACATGGTTAGCAACTAATACAAGCTCAAGATCACAGCAAACATCTTTTAAATCTGCTGACCATTTGGATTTGAGAACCCCAGTAACAGCAACATCGTCTACAGCAACATCGTCTGGAAAAAAAATCAAAATACATCAGTAAGTTGGGATTGGCAAAGAATGTTGGCAACTGTAATGTCTGAAAGTGCTACTTGATGTTATCCAGACCTGTGATGGATCCTGGGTCATGCAGTATGAGTTGAATGACTAAAAATAAGTAGAGGATTCATCTCATGCAAAGGTAAGTGAATATGTGTTGACTAGTATCTCACCCGTGCGTTGCACGGGATGTAATATACAACTATTATAAATAATCTATTATTTGGGATGAGCAATGATTAAAATCACAAATAAATTGAAACAAAATTCAAGGAAGGATGAACAGGTAGCCAAGAAATCCATCTGATATGATCATCGAAATAAACAAACATACATTAGGCAGCTGCAATGTGTTTTAATAATATAGTAACCATAATTATATAATAATATGAATAGTTATAACAAAATAGCCATACACTTATGTTCGTTTATTCCATGATGATACTATATGCAGTCAAGGAAGGATGAGCGCGATGGTCAGAAAATCCATAGTTTGGTTCAAGAAATCAGCAACGGCGTAAGGGATGTAAATTGCAGTTTTGTTTAGCTTTATTAGAATTAAAAAAAATGGGAGAAACAGAGTTTATATTTAGAAACAATTTGAACTAACTTAAAATTTCTTGTCCAATTAGTGGCACATTAATCACCATCTAAAATGTTCTCCTTTGTTTATCACTATAGGAAAGGTTCTCATTTGTATCCATTTTTATTGTTCATGTTATATGACTATTTCACGATGATACAAAATGTTAGAACTGCGTTGTGTGTAGCATAAGTATCACAAAAGTTGACACATCAGGACTGAAATCCAGTAACCGTTTTCCTTTGTGTCTAAGCACTTATAGCTTCTGCTTTGAGTTTGAACCAATTACCAATCTGTTGGTATCGTCATCATACAAGCTACTAAATGAAATTATCATAACTGTTAGCAGCCTATATAGAGAGAAAAAGAAGGCACAAACAATGATTAGATTTAAGCCCACAGTATCAGTGCAAGTGTGCAACTCCATTTTATTTTCTAATCAACTGTAGTTATCTATATGCATCCAAATGATAGACACACGTGAAAGTCTCAGGTAATAAAATGAGGGTAGGTGTCATACTTGGAAAAGACAAGAGTGCATGAGACTAAATAATATCAGAATTCTCAAGTAACATAACATCCAAACTATGACTGTGATTGGACTTTGGAAAATGTCGAGAAAAGAAACTCGCGAGGAAAGTTACTTTCTTACGCTTGGTTTTAGATGGGAAAAAACAAAACAAAATGGAGTATGAGTAATGTATATAAACTTTTAAATATGTTTAGATTTCTGAGTATTTATATTGCAGAATAATCTTTTAAAAAAGAATTTGAACAAATAATGTACATTTAATGAGTTTGAATAATCTTTTATTTTCCTCGACATTGTATTTCCATCTAAAGTTCATCTTTAATCAATTTCTCCCCTACATTTTCTGCCTGCCATATTCCGACTTCCAAAAGTACCCCATACAAATAAAGATTTAAGCAACGAAAGAGCGATCAGAGGTATGTACAGGTGATAGAATTTTCTCTAGCTGTTCTTCCGGGGATTTCATTCCTCGCAGCAAGGACTTGAATGAATTACCCTGAAAAGTTATTTAGAAGATCATAAAATCAAGACTTTGAATGAGACATCATTTTGTTAGTATTACGGAGAACGGGAGAACTATTATTGAACTGTTAAACTAACACTCTGCTGATAGGTCGAACTACTGCAAGATAATATCAGCCTCATGAAGAGTCATGATCATTGATTTTGGTCTTATTTCCATTCAAAATGCTTTTATAGAAGCAACTTGTGTGTCATTCCTGTTGCAAGTGATTTGTATATTCTATTAAAGTCTATCAGGCTTCTTAACTCAAGGACTTTTGAAGCATGCAACGAAATTTAAAATTATACCAAACTGAAAAGTTCTTAAATACCACTAAGCAAAGTTAAAAATACTACTGGGTATTTCGTACCCACTAAAGCTTTGACATTTGGAGATTAATACTCAATTAGCTACAAACACATAAAAAATGAGGCTCTGCCATTTTTATTGAAGACTTGGGCAGTCTACTGATTCTTTAAATTGATCAGGATGTTCTCATTTAAATAGAAATAAGTGATGAATGGAGATCAATTTTTGGATTTCTTATTGTTCTAGAACCCACCAAACATGGCAGTTTGTTGCTTCTCTCTGTTTTGAATTTGAGATTTTATGGTTCAAAAGTCCTAAATAATAACAAAATTAACAAAGAGTCTTATTTCAAGATTAAGAGCCTGAAATAAGAACATTTTTTTCCAGGAAACGGTACACACCCTATTCTAACCCATTTTGAATCGAAATATCATGCCATTAATAATCCCCCATTTAAAACATATGTGTACCTCATAAAGAAGTGTTAGATGGAAGAAAACCACTATTCTAATAGTTGATATTAGTAATCACTTTGGGATCATTTAAATAATTTAGATTGTTTTTCATAAACATGTAAGACAATCAAGAGTTGGACTGCAATTTTGGAGATCTTATGGGAATTTTCATTGCTAGGATCTGTGAAAAATGAAAGAGTTTGAACTTGGCAAATATCGGATTAGTGGATATAGAGAATGCGAGTAAATCAATAAAAAAAATTGGGTTCATTTTGTTTTACTTCAAAAGGAATATCAGATAGTGAGATAGTCTAACTCAGTTTTGTTACATAGTCAACCCATATATTGTTTTCACATTGTTTCTGAAATGAACATACATAAAAACACCACCCACATAAGTATATAGGCTATATGTTCACTATATATCCTTCTGTTTTTAAACTTCAAAATAATAGGGCCTTCTCCCCACTCTAATTTGTTAGGAATATAAAAACACACTCTTCTAGATTGGTGAATATATAGATTGGTGAAACTCCAAGTTAGTGAAATGAACAATTCAACTTTTACTTCACATTAAAAAGCGGCTAGAACAATATTTTCAAGAAACATGTATTCATCTCTTGTTGAACAAAAATGAAAATGCATGCCAGCATGTAAAGTCTCGGGTCTGAGTAGTATACCTCCTTAGAAAGGGTGCGATGAATTGGACGTAGAGCTGGATGAAGAGATTGAGGCTTAGCATTGAAAAGATTGTATCTGCTGCGGTTGAGATTTGAAATTTGAAGCCAATGTTCAGATTGTAGGGCTTGGAACACAGCATGTTGTTGTTTTTGTGACTCGGCAATGTGGAGTAGTGAATAGTGATGCGGCTGCCCAAATTGGGACTGCAAACACACATTTGGGCTCTTCCTCTTGTTGCACATTACAAAGTCTCCATGGATTAACTAATGATTCTGCTACTTATTTTTATCTTCTGCCATTATGGCAACCTTGTCGAGAAAATAAGAAATCTGAAATCAAAAGCATTTTGATTAGTAATAAAGAAAAAGATTCACAAAATTTTATTTGAACTGTCAAATTGTAAGAAGTTTAAATATTATGTGTGTGCTCTTTAAATGAAAATGAACAAAATATAAAATAACATAGAAAAATAAGATGAATTTGTTTTAAAAGATAACTAAGGTGAAAACACTGTTCCACAAACACTTACTTCATGCCAAGATCACAAACACCAACTCCATGCCAAGATCACAAACACCAACTCCATGCCAAGATTTTTTAGTGTGAGCTGAAACACAGTGCTTTTCGGCATGATTATGACATCATTAACCTATGAATTAACCTATGAATTGACATCCAGAAAACCGTAGGCTAAAAACAAAATTCTCTTTTGATGTCATGATTCTCTTTAAATCCAAGCCCAAAAAACACACATGCAATTAAAACTAAGAAGACCAATGTTTTCAGCCCACTAATCATCTAGAAATAAAAAGGAATTTAAACATTGACAACCAAAACTGAAAATTCAATCACAGTGATTTAGATGAGTCGTATATGGCCCCTACACAAATAATGCTTCACTGGTTTTCTGAAATGTGAAACAAATTATGGTGAATTGAAGTGTTGCTAAGCCGAGTTTCTGTGATAGTGAAGAACAATCAATCAAAAATGAATAATATATATGTACATAGTATATGATATAGAATAAAGAAAAAGTTATGATATTAGAAATATTGACTAATTAAAAAGAAATTCAAAGATTCACCAAAGTCTCTCTTTTATCTCTACTTTAGAAAACATAAGGAGGCTACCCATTATATGCACTCATAAATATTATATTGATTGCAGAGACTGTGTAATCCTGCACATTGTTCCTCAGACTAAGATAATTCCTAATTTAGAATGTATATTAAATAAAGTAGATAAAAATGCTAGCTTTTAAAATAACTTAATTGAAAACTTAATTAAAAACTGAAAATGACATGACAGTTAATAGATATAACTTTAGTAGATATAATTCATTATAAATATGAATAACAACTTTACTCATCATTTTGACTAATAAAATTGGTCCCTGGAGTAGTCATTTTCTTGGCATGTATCCAAGAAAATCTTTTTAAGATTATTATTGTGCTTAAATTAATAGGTACGGGTACAGAAAGTGTAATAGAAAGAATTCGTGTTCCCTAATGGAATATATAAAAAATAACAACAGAACATCATCATAGCATCAACATCACTTTCAAATCTTCAAGTGTGTTCAAATCTTCACCCAATACAGTCAAAGCTAACTAACAAATCCGAGGCCTTAGGTTATATTGATGTGAAAACTTCATATTTTTGGGTGTTATGAGCCTGACAGCCAAGGATGAACTAGTATTAGTACATCAAAAATTTAAAATAATAACAAAAATTAACGAAAACCAAACATGTGAATATATATTAGTTGTTTCCTGGTTTGACAGAAAAAAGTTTTTTTAACATCAGAATGTGATAAAACCAAGAGCAGACATGTAAGAAATATCGTTGAGGAGTTTTAACAAACACATTTCAAACAAAGAATTGATTCAAATTGGATCACAAAATATTAAAGTGAATCACAATACATCAGTAAGTTGGTATTGGCAAAGTGCTATTTAGAAAGGGGAAGGAATATACCGTAGGAAGAGAATAGAGAGAAGGTATATTATATTATTATATTAATATACTAGTATTATTATTAATATAATATTATTATCCTAGTATACTACTCCGTAGTATATTATCCTAGTATACTACTAGTATTATACTACTAGTATTATACTATTATTATTTTATTAATTATATTATTAATTATATTATTATTATATTATTATTTATTATTATTTATTATTATTTATTATTTATTATTATTTATTATCATTTATTATCATTTATTATCATTTATTCCCATTTATTCCCATTTATTCCCTTTTCTTCCCTTTTCTTCCCTTTTACCTTCCCTTTCCTAGTTCCTTTTCTTGCCCGGTTCCTTTTCTTTCCTTTCCGGTTCCTTTTCCCTTTCCTTTCCGGTTCCTTTTCACTTCCCTTTCCTTCCTTCCCCTTCCAGTCCCCCTTCTCCTTTGTTTATCACTATAGGAAAGGTTCTCATTTGTATCCATTTTTTATTGTTCATGTTATATGACTATTTCACGATGATACAAAATGTTAGAACTGCGTTGTGTGTAGCATAAGTATCACAAAAGTTGACACATCAGGGCTGAAATCCAGTAACCGTTTTCCTTTGTGTCTAAGCACTTATAGCTTCTGCTTTGAGTTTGAACCAATTACCAATCTGTTGGTATCGTCATCATACAAGCTACTAAATGAAATTATCATAACTGTTAGCAGCCTATATAGAGAGAAAAAGAAGGCACAAACAATGATTAGATTTAAGCCCACAGTATCAGTGCAAGTGTGCAACTCCATTTTATTTTCTAATCTACTGTAGTTATCTATATGCATCCAAATGATAGACACACGTGAAAGTCTCGGGTAATAAAATGAGGGTATGTGTCATACTTGGAAAAGACAAGAATGCATGAGACTAAATAATATCAGAATTCTCAAGTAACATAACATCCAAACTATGACTGTGATTGGATTTTGGAAAATGTCGAGAAAAGAAACTCGCGAGGAAAGTTACTTTCTTACGCTTGGTTTTAGATGGGAAAAAACAAAACAAAATGGAGTATGAGTAATGTATATAAACTTTTAAATATGTTTAGATTTCTGAGTATTTATATTGCAGAATAATCTTTTAAAAAAGAATTTGAACAAATAATGTACATTTAATGAGTTTGAATAATCTTTTATTTTCCTCGACATTGTATTTCCATCTAAAGTTCATCTTTAATCAATTTCTCCCCTACATTCTCTGCCTGCCATATTCCGACTTCCAAAAGTACCCCATACAAATAAAGATTTAAGCAACGAAAGAGGGATCAGAGGTATGTACAGGTGATAGAATTTTCTTTAGCTGTTCTTCCGGGGATTTCATTCCTCGCAGCAAGGACTTGAATGAATTACCCTGAAAAGTTATTTAGAAGATCATAAAATCAAGACTTTGAATGAGACATCATTTTGTTAGTATTACGGAGAACGGGAGAACTATTATTGAACTGTTAAACTAACACTCTGCTGATAGGTCGAACTACTGCAAGATAATATCAGCCTCATGAAGAGTCATGATCATTGATTTTCGTCTTATTTCCATTCAAAATGCTTTTATAGAAGCAACTTGTGTGTCATTCCTGTTGCAAGTGATTTGTATATTCTATTAGAGTCTATCAGGCTTCTAAACTCAAGGACTTTTGAAGCATGCAACGAAATTTAAAATTATACCAAACTGAAAAGTTCTTAAATACCACTAAGCAAAGTTAAAAATACTACTGGGTATTTCGTACCCACTAAAGCTTTGACATTTGGAGATTAATACTCAATTAGCTACAAACGCATAAAAAATGAGGCTCTGCCATTTTTATTGAAGACTTGGGCAGTCTACTGATTCTTTAAATTGATCAGGATGTTCTCATTTAAATAGAAATAAGTGATAAATGGAGATCAATTTTTGGATTTCTTATTGTTCTAGAACCCAGCAAACATGGCAGTTTGTTGCTTCTCTCTGTTTTGAATTTGAGATTTTATGGTTCAAAAGTCATAAATAATAACAAAATTAACAAAGATTCTTATTTCAAGATTAAGAGCTTGAAATAAGAACATCTTTTTCCAGGAAACGGTATACACCCTATTCTAACCCATTTTGAATCGAAATATCACGCCATTAATAATCCCCCATTTAAAACATATGTGTACCTCATAAAGAAGTGTTAGATGGAAGAAAACCACTATTCTAATAGGTGATATTAGTAATCACTTTGGGATCATTTAAATAATTTAGATTGTTTTTCATAAACATGTAAGACAATCAAGAGTTGGACTGCAATTTTGGAGATCTTATGGGAATTTTCATTGCTAGGATCTGTGAATAATGAAAGAGTTTGAACTTGGCAAATATCGGATTAGTGGATATAGAGAATGCGAGTAAATCAATAAAAAAAATTGGGATAAGGGTCAGATAGGGCCTCGAACTTGAAAAAAAATGTCAAATAAGGCCATATTTAGGATGCTCTGTCCGGCCGACGCCATTTGGGGTGGTTCCCGGTGGAATTTTTTGATGAATTTTTTTGAGAATCTTATTCATTAAGTCTAGTATACTCATATCAAATTTGAACTAAAACTTTAATCGGGAAGGTATTCAAATGAATTCTTGAAGATAACTGTGCCGTTAAAAGCGCAGTTATCTTCATGAATTCATTTGAATGCCTTCCCGATTGAATTGTTAGTTCAAATTTGATATGAGTAAACTAGACTTAATGAATAAGATTCTCAAAAAATTTTATCAAAAAATTCCACCGGGAACCACCCCAAATGACGTCGGCCGGACAGGGCATCCTAAATATGGCCTTATTTGACATTTTTTTTCAAGTTCGAGGCCCTATCTGACCCTTATCCCAAAAAAATTGGGTTCATTTTATTTTACTTCAAAAGGAATATCAGATAGTGAGATAGTCTAACTCAGTTTTGTTACATAGTCAACCCATATATTGTTTTCACATTGTTTCTGAAATGAACATACATAAAAAAACCACCCACATAAGTATATAGGCTATATTATATGTTCACTATATATCCTTCTGTTTTTAAACTTCAAAATGATAGGGCCTTCTCCCCACTCTAATTTGTTAGGAATATAAAAACACACTCTTCTAGATTGGTGAATATATAGATTGGTGAAACTCGAAGTTAGTGAAATGAACAATTCAACTTTTACTTCACATTAAAAAGCGGCTAGAACAATATTTTCAAGAAACATTTATTCATCTCTTATTGAACAAAAATGAAAATTCATGCCAGCATGTAAAGTCTCGGGTCTGAGTAGTATACCTCCTTAGAAAGGGTGCGATAAATTGGACGTAGAGCTGGATGAAGAGATTGAGGCTTAGCATTGAAAAGATTGTATCTGCTGCGGTTGAGATTTGAAATTTGAAGCGAATGTTCAGATAGTAGGGCTTGGAACACAGCATGTTGTTGTTTTTGTGACTCGGCAATGTGGAGTAGTGAATAGTGATGCGGCTGCCCAAATTGGGACTGCAAACACACATTTGGGCTCTTCCTCTTGTTGCACATTACAAAGTCTCCATGGATTAACTAATGATTCTTCTACTTTTTTTTATCTTCTGCCATTATGGCAACCTTGTCGAGAAAATAAGAAGTCTGAAATCAAAAGCATTTTGATTAGTAATAAAGAAAAAGATTCACAAAATTTTATTTGAACTGTCAAATTGTAAGAAGTTTAAATATTATGTGTCTGCTCTTTAAATGAAAATGAACAAAATATAAAATAACATAGAAAAATAAGATGAATTTGTTTTAAAAGATAACTAAGGTGAAAACACTGTTCCACAAACACTTACTTCATGCCAAGATCACAAACACCAACTCCATGCCAAGATTTTTTAGTGTGAGCTGAAACACAGTGCTTTTAGGCATGATTATGACATCATTAACCTATGAATTAACCTATGAATTGACATCCAGAAAACCGTAGGCTAAAAACAAAATTCTCTTTTGATGTCATGATTCTCTTTAAATCCAAGCCCAAAAAACACACATGCAATTAAAACTAAGAAGACCAATGTTTTCAGCCCACTAATCATCTAGAAATAAAAAGGAATTTAAACATTGACAACCAAAACTGAAAATTCAATCACAGTGATTTAGATGAGTCGTATATGGCCCCTACACAAATAATGCTTCACTGGTTTTCTGAAATGTGAAACAAATTATGGTGAATTGAAGTGTTGCTAAGCCGAGTTTCTGTGATAGTGAAGAACAATCAATCAAAAATGAATAATATATATGTACATAGTATATGATATAGAATAAAGAAAAAGTTATGATATTAGAAATATTGACTAATTAAAAAGAAATTCAAAGATTCACCAAAGTCTCTCTTTTATCTCTACTTTAGAAAACATAAGGAGGCTACCCATTATATGCACTCATAAATATTATATTGATTGCAGAGACTGTGTAATCCTGCACATTGTTCCTCAGACTAAGATAATTCCTAATTTAGAATGTATATTAAATAAAGTAGATAAAAATGCTAGCTTTTAAAATAACTTAATTGAAAACTTAATTAAAAACTGAAAATGACATGACAGTTAATAGATATAACTTTAGTAGATATAATTCATTATAAATATGAATAACAACTTTACTCATCATTTTGACTAATAAAATTGGTCCCTGGAGTAGTCATTTTCTTGGCATGTATCCAAGAAAATCTTTTTAAGATTATTATTGTGCTTAAATTAATAGGTACGGGTACAGAAAGTGTAATAGAAAGAATTCGTGTTCCCTAATGGAATATATAAAAAATAACAACAGAACATCATCATAGCATCAACATCACTTTCAAATCTTCAAGTGTGTTCAAATCTTCACCCAATTCAGTCAAAGCTAAAACTAACAAATCCGAGGCCTTAGGTTATATTGATGTGAAAACTTCATATTTTTGGGTGTTATGAGCCTGACAGCCAAGGATGAACTAGTATTAGTACATCAAAAATTTAAAATAATAACAAAAATTAACGAAAACCAAACATGTGAATATATATTAGTTGTTTCCTGGTTTGACAGAAAAAAGTTTTTTTAACATCAGAATGTGATAAAACCAAGAGCAGACATGTAAGAAATATCGTTGAGGAGTTTTAACAAACACATTTCAAACAAAGAATTGATTCAAATTGGATCACAAAATATTAAAGTGAATCACAATACATCAGTAAGTTGGTATTGGCAAAGTGCTATTTAGAAAGGGGAAGGAATATACCGTAGGAAGAGAATAGAGAGAAGGTATATTATATTATTATATTAATATACTAGTATTATTATTAATATAATATTATTATCCTAGTATACTACTCCGTAGTATATTATCCTAGTATACTACTAGTATTATACTACTAGTATTATACTATTATTATTTTATTAATTATATTATTAATTATATTATTATTATATTATTATTTATTATTATTTATTATTATTTATTATTATTTATTATTTATTATTATTTATTATCATTTATTATCATTTATTATCATTTATTCCCATTTATTCCCATTTATTCCCTTTTCTTCCCTTTTCTTCCCTTTTACCTTCCCTTTCCTAGTTCCTTTTCTTGCCCGGTTCCTTTTCTTTCCTTTCCGGTTCCTTTTCCCTTTCCTTTCCGGTTCCTTTTCACTTCCCTTTCCTTCCTTCCCCTTCCAGTCCCCCTTTCCCCTCGCACCCTTGCTTCTGCCCCCCCCCCTTACCCCCCCCCACGGGGGGTTTGGCGCCACGCGGCGCCACCCGGGCAGCATAACGCCCCCGGCGCACCGGACTACGCGGAGGCAGCATAACGCCCCCAGCGCGCCGGCCCTAGACCTAACCTAACCTAAGCTAAACCCTAACCTAAACTAGGCCTAGCCCTAGCCTAAACCTAACCTAACCCTATGGCGCCCAAACCGGGAGCGCCAAACCGGAGGCCGGCCCGAAACGGGCAGCACACTAGACCCAGCGGGACAGGACCGAGAACAGTCCGTGAGTCCAACTGTTGGGTGGTTTTCTGCTCTACTGCTCACTCGTATTTATCGGCACTCAGAGGAGAGGCTGAAAGCTCCGGTATCGGTGTGGGATTTATTTTTCTTTAAAAAGTTTCCTTCTCCTCTGAGACAAGCTGGACAGCAACCGCCATAGGCATAACATTCTGCAAACCTCAAACGCTGAAAAGCTCACTCTCTCTTCCCCTCCATCGCCCCCTCTTTCAAGGAAAACCACAGCAACTATGGAAGGACCTCGACTTCTCTCGACGGCAACTCTCATCGCCAATGGCCTCCGAAGCAGATCTGGCTCGCTTACGAAGACTGGCCGGCCAGCTGGTTTGGCTTCCAGAGAAGAATATGAAGCGACACGGATTGGTTTTTGAGAGCTTCCCCACACTTGTACTGAGGAGTACTGACCCAGACCGGTCTAGGCAAAAGAATGCAATTGGTCTTCGGAGTATATGCTTTTGCAAAATGTATGGATTAGTGCTAAATGTTAAATATATATAGAAAGTATGATACTTTTTTCATTGTAAACAATTTGTATATTATATCATAGAAAGATATAGAATTATAACCAGATAAACTCAATTTGCTACTTTTTAGCATTGTAAAAAATTTGTATATCACATCATGAGAAAATATAGAATTACAATCAAATAAGTTGAACTGACGAAATCGTATTCATTATAAACAATTTGTATATTAAATCATGAGAAACTATACAGTTTACAATCAGATAAACCCAATGATTTCAGAAACAACCCTCGGGAGCAAACAACTCGGTAATCTCTTGACGGGCAGATCTAAGCTGTTTCCTACCAATATGAGTTAGAAACTGAAGATGACAACTACAACGAACCGTCTACATTCCAACTCAACGAAAGTAATAAAACCAAAGTAAAACAATCCATAGCTAGCACAAGTTGTAACAACAGAGAAAAAACAGGCAAGCAACAAAAACTGAAATCGACATCTAATTAGAAAGCTCTCGCATTTGTTGACCACCTCCTCTACGTCTCCAAGCAAAACAAGTCTTTCGTCTTCCTCGCATTTGTTGACCCCCTCCTGCATGTCTCCATACCAAACAAGTCTTTCGTCTTCCTCATGCAGAATCTCGAGGTGGTATTCACACTGATCCACGAGCTTGAAGTGGCGATTAGAAACTGTTTTCCAAAAAGTCGGTTTGACCAGTCATATAAAAGGAAACCACTTTTACCTCAAAACTTGGTTGTAGTTCAGGGGGGCGAAATGCCTATCAATGTTCAAACCTCGGGAAAATTTGTATAACACAAGTGTTGTGAGCCTCAAACTCTTAAACTTTGCGCCCCATCAATGTTGTGAGAGATCAAAATCATCATAGGCATGGTACCTCAAACCGTAAAATCGGAGAACCAAACCGAAATCACCACTTTCACTCGGTTCATCACAATCCGGACTTAAGATCTTTTCAGATCAGTTCCTAAAGTTTTAAATTCAGTTCCATTCTGGTTATGAAAAAAAATTCCCTGTTAGGAACCGAAGTTAGTATGCAATTACGGAAAATTAAAATGGAAACTACTATTTACGAAAATTTTGGAGAACACGTAACGTGCTCTTTATTGAGCATGTAGTGCGGTTCATGAGAGAAAAACACCTTGTATGAGGTTTCACAATTATTAGTGATGGAGTTTAATCCAACTACGAGAGCTAAATCTACCGAAAGGTATGAGAAACGTATGAAAAAAATAATAGAATATGACTGCGTAAGGCATTATACTCTTATTCCGAAGGATGAATTGGCCGTCCCTTGGTAGGGTATTTACAAGAAGTATTTATAGACTTTAAGATTCATTATTTTAGGAGGAATCTCATACAATATGTTAGTCCCTATTTCTAACAACCAAACAATCATAAGAATGAAAGAAGAAGCACATAGATTTCTCATTCATATCAAAGTATCGAGAACTTTGGTACACCGTGTAAACCGGCCGCTGCTCTCCCTCTAGGGAGAGAGAGAGAGAGCAGCGTGAAACAATTCTCTCTATTCTGCCTCTATACTCTAATGCCTTCGCTAGGTTTTCCTCATAAGTTAGTCTCCTTTTATAGGAGAAGATGGCAACTTATGGCTTACAAGAGAGTCTAATGGGCTAATATTTAAATGTGGCCCATATTACACATTTAACTAACAACTACACAAATAGAAAGACATCTAACTAGATTGGACACCAGAAAAAGTCCTAACAATCTCCCCCTTGGTGTTCAATCTTGTTTGATCAGCATTGCAGCGCGGATGTCTTTGCTTTTGTGTTCAGTTGCTCCTCAATGCAGCTCAGCTTCCTTTGTCTTTGCACTCGGCTTCTTGAAAAGGCTTTTTGATGAAATCCTTGCAGTCTCCCCTTTGATGTCTTCATGGCAATTTGTTCTTTGATGTCGGGGAGTTGAAGAATCTTCAGGATGTAGCTTGTGATCCTTACCTTTCAGAAGTTGCTCTTGATCAGCATTAATGAATTCCGATGGCGCCTATGGAACGAGTGTTCGGTTGATATACAGGCGCACACAGGATTCATCTTCAGAACTTGAATACTTGACCTTTGTCTCCTCAAAGTTTACATGGCACAGCGGAAAATTATTGTTTTTTAGGAGATCTCGTCAGTGGCACAGCGGAATAAGATAATTGACTTGTGAGCGTAGCTGACCATTTGATTTGAAGCTAGCTTGGTACTTGAGTGGAGAAACAAGAGTGTCATCGTTGTTGTTGTTTTGTGCTGGAGGAGAGAAGTATCCAAAAATGATTTGTTGATAGTGACAGCATGTGGACTACTCTCCCCCTCATGACGATCCGATGAATCGGGGCGTCATGCCTTTATTCTTTTATTCTGGGAAACAAAATTGAAAACAAAGAGAAAGGTTAAATGATAAAGACCGGATGCACAAAAGTGTTCCGTTAACACAACATCAATGTAAACACTGATGTGTGGCCTGTATAAGAGGATATAAGCATTACAGCTCTAACAGGACTTCCAACCAATCATTGTGAAGCATCTGAAGCAGATGTCACTCTCGTTGTTAAGGCGTGATCATAAAGATCAGCAATGCAAACCGTAGCCCCCCGAGGTCGCGTAGACACCCGTTATCATCACTATAGAGATAAACTCTAAAGCGATGGCCTGAACATGTTGGTGATTTCTATGTTGCAACAGCAGGACTTCCTTCCAATCATCGGTCTATCTATATTAGATGAGCCCTATGGAAGTTCTCGCATGGTCACTTGGACCTGCAACTAACTCAAAAGTGTGTTTGTGTCCTAGAAAATTCAAAACATTTGAGAGTGAGATAACTAGACACAGCGTGATCAATGAAAGTTCAGTGGCATGGGGCTGAGGCCACTGTAGTCAGTATCACTTGCCTCGGAGGGAGACAGTAATGAGAGATGAAGTTCCCCGTGAAATATGATTAAACACTTGTCTGTTGGGAGACAAATGAGTGGTCTTGAGTCGGGTTATGTATGCACTGTTGGACAAGATGCAGTGACTTCTACCCGGGATCTGAATAAATCCAGTCCTGAACCTATGGGGATTGTCCAGAGTATTTGAGTGACTTGGAGTAATTGATTAATTGATAGTAGGCAGTTGAGGTAGCAGACTTATCATTGAATATTGTTTTCTTGCTCACTTGAGCCTTCTGCTTCCTAACGCTCATAGTATTCACTCACTCACACATTCACTCATTACTCTCGGTTTTGTCCCTTGGGTAGGCTTAGTTGGGTTTACTAAGTCATGGGGACTTCTCTCTCATTCTCTTTGTTTCTTCATTTTCTCTCTGTACTCCCCCTCAACTGGAGCACTCAGTATGCTTTTTCATCGTTCGGTACTGAGGAGGATAAAATTGAAAACTCCCCCTCAAATGTTGCTTCCTATGAGAGAATCCTTGCTTTGTCGTTGTGTGGCGCCAGGAGGAGAAAACTGTAACTCCCCCTCAGATTGTGCAAGGTTTGATTGCTCACAGCTTGATATACCTGCCATGTGTATGGAGCAATCTGTACATGTACCACACATGACGGTTTACCTTGAACTCATCATCTAGAAATTTAGCACAGTGATGATCACGCGTTGTTTGAGTTAGGGGAGGCATCAGTAGTTGATTGTTGATTGTTGTGAAATGACCGTTGACGCGAGGTTGATTGAATTATCTACGAGTTCCAGACCTTACAATATAGATTAGACCAACTTTGACATTTGGTTTGAATTTGGTTTGATTTTGGAAGAATTGACCAGATTTGCCTCAGTTTTGACCTTGACTTTGACTTTGGTGATTTCTCAGAAAACAGATGATATCTCCCTCAACAAAGGCGAGTGAGGGAGCGTGAGAAAGGGTTCTGGGGTTCCCCCCATAATTCATGTAGATCTTTTCATGAGCTTTCCGGAAAGGTATTTTACGTGTAAATCGGAGTTGAGGTTCTCGAGGTTGAGTTTCTCGATGTTGGACCTCGAAAACCTGTTCTCGATGTTGAATGTCGAAAACTTTTTTTTCTCGATGATGATATCGAAAACTTGTTCTCGATAGTGAATGTCGAAAAGACGAAAACGTCTTCTCGATAGTGAATGTCGAAAACGTCTTCTCGGTGTTTGAATATCAAAAACTTTTTCTCGATATTTGAATATCGAAAACTTTTCTCGATGTTGAATATCAAAAAATTCTTTTTCGATATTTGAATGTCGAGAAACATGTTTTCGAACTTCAAACTGCGAGAAACTTGTTTTCGAACTCCAAACTGCGAGAAACCTATTTTCGAACATCAAATATCGAGAAACCTGTTTTCGAACATCAAATATCGAGAAACCTGTTTTCGAAATTCAAATATCGAGAAACCTGTTTTCGATCTTCAACCTGCGAGAAACATGTTTTCGAGCATTAACTTCGAGAAACTCAAGACTTCGAAAACGTTGGAATTTCTAACCAGTTTAGAACATCGAAAAGTTTGAAATTTCTAAAACTTCAGAATATCAAAAACTTTAGCTTTGAAAACCTTCAAAACTTCGAAAACTTCAAAAAGCTGAGAATATCAAAAATTATTTTTAAAACTTCGAGAAGCTGAGTTCGAAAAGTTCTGAAATTGCGAAAAATATCAAGCTTCAAAAAATCCTGAGATTCGAGAAAACCCAAATTTTGAAAGATTCTAAACATCGAGAAACTCCAAAACTTCTAAATCATCAAAACATTGAGAACTTCCAGCTTCAAATATCTGCATCTGCAAAAACAAAAATTTCTTCATAAATGAAATTGCAGGCTGTTTTCAAACATATTTCGATCCTAATCTTCCAGAAATCGTGAAAAAACATTGAAAACAGATCATCAAACCAAAATATCGAAAACTCAATTTTTCAAATAGGTGTGGTCTGTCTCGATAAAGGCAGATCCGAAAAACGCAGATGAATCCAATCTATTTCACGCCTCGGCTCTGATACCACATGTTAGTCCCTATTTCTAACAACCAAACAATCATAAGA